CAGACATCAAGTGAAACACATTTGCAGCCATCGTTTTTCAAATCTTATCCAACTGAAAAATGTCAGTCGAGGTTGATGTGTGGCTTCAGAGATTTATCGACTAGTATAGACTCGTTGATTTTGCCTTAAGAGGCTTGTTACTCTCGAGACCAGATGGGTCAGAGTTGGAGAATCACTCCGTCAAAAACGAGTTTCAAAACACATGGATTCCCCATCATGGTAATGACTTTGTCTGCTACGGTCGATAATCCGAAGGAAAAGGGATAATGGTTTCCAATTGACAGCAACGTTAAGAGGAAGCAATATTTTATTTAAGTTATTTCTACCATTAAAAAACCGGCCATACAGTGCTGGATTTGTGTGCTGATCTCTGGAGACAGCTACGCACAATGGGTTTTAATCAGCCGCATTAAGTTGAAGTGACGTTGCCCCGTTTATGCACAATATTAGTACCAAAGGATGCTTCTGGCCTATGCCATTTAAGCCTGGAAACAGAAGCCCAAAACGCTGATTGGGGCCATGTCTTTCTCGTAAATCGAAAACATAAAATAGTTGCCGATAAAATAATTCCGGGGGACTTAGATCAGCCATGTGCAGATTTCGAAATGCCAGGTTCAAACATAATTTTGAAAGTTTTTTTTGTAATTAAAGAGTAATGCTGAGTAAAATGGCGTACCCATCAGTGAAAGGTACGTGCTGGGAATTCATCATCCGTGTTGTTTATGAAGCAAGGGTCAGAGTGGTAAAACAGAATGTACCATGGTGCCACAATGACGGGTCGGGGTTGGGGAGGGGCATTCAGGGTCGCGGGTTGGGAGAAGGAGACAGGACACCTATGTTCACAAACGCGATGAGGTCAAGTCGAAAATCATAAGAAAATTAGATTTCTGGATCATCCGATTCATTACACCAATGCAAGGATGACGACAACCGGTAAGCGCTGACGTTTCCAAATCCTACAATGAAATTTGAAATATACAGGAACTCAGGACCGAGGTGGATTGTTTGGTTTGTTAGCATATTTTCCAGGTATATCACTCCTGCATCTAGATTGAGCCTGGACCAGGCAAACCATCAACTGATATAATAAGAACTGCTTATTAACTGTGCAACCCACTGAATCCAATCGCCCCATTCCATTACAGTACTAGTCGCCTCGTATGACAAGCACCAGTCGCTGGGGATCTATTCCGACCCGGAATCCCCTAGGGGTCAATTACAGTAAGAATGGTTATTGAGGACAAGCCCCCACCCTCATATTGCAGGCATCTTAATGTATTAGGAAGTCAGGCTTTATAACTGATTCCAGGTCCTCATACTGATGGTGGGCATTGGAGTAGCCTAGTGGTTACATCGTTCGCTCGTCACGCCGAAGACCCGGGTTCGATTCCCCACATGGGTACAATGTGTGAAGCCCATTTCTAGTGTCCCCCGCCGTGATGTTGCTGGAATATTGCTAAAAGAGGCGTAAAACCATACTCACTTACTCACTCATACTGATGGCGCGAGGCATTGTTCATGACGTCAACCACTGGTCTGTCCACTACGTACACACCGCAGGCCTTCAGTTGGAATATCGCTTTACTGCGGAGTTATTTAAAGAAATTAAAAACTTTAATAGCCCCCAAAGAACCATTGGCGTTAACTCCACAGAAGACTTCAACGTTCTCACGCCAGTAATATACAAGATAGTCCCCAAATGGCCCATTACACAACAGGGTTAAAAAAAAACTTTCTAAAATCATAAAAACTCTTTTCTAAAATCAGCATCCATTGCAAGATTCCACCTATATCATATATCATGTTTAAGAATCCCTAACCAATAGTGATCATACAAGGTGTTCGCCATAAGGTGGGCGTATCTTGCGTCCATCCGTCACAAACACATGCAAGGACAAGCCAGTTGTTCACCTGGTACATATAGTACTAGGGACAGCGGTGAATTGCATCGGTTTGTCTTTGAGACAGGTACATTTCTCTTAGTATATATCTTTAAGGAGCTTTAGATTTTAGCCCTAACAATTTTCAGTGGCGAGAAACGGCTTTAGTTTGGTCTGTCAGCAAACTAAATGAAGAAGTTGGAAAATCTGCAGAATTTCAGCCACATATCAAATGGTAAAAACCGACTGTTCCGATTACGAAAATATATATTTTGTCAAAGAATTTGCCTGAGATGTAAAAAGGAGGATCTTCACCTTACAGTACAAATGATTGTGTATAATAACTCTGTCCAATGCGTCAACGTTGTAAATTCATCATGACGATACGGACCAGAGAGGGGATGACCTCCAATCACTGCTTGGCAGCTTTGAGCTTATTTGACACCTTGATATTCCAGCTTTGTTGCCAATGATCTAACACAGTGTCTAATGGAAGTGACGGGAAGTTAGTGTTGGAAGATGACTCATTAGAGCAGTGTTAAGGAAGTCTCTGATTTGTAGTTACCACGGTGTCAACACGACTGGGCAGACAACAAAATATGATATCGTTTTCAATTAAGGACAAACTGATGAGATACTTTAAAATTTCAACTAAGAATGAATGATCCAGTTTCCTAGTTTGAATGACTTTAAACAGGATAGATGTCAGAAAATGTGATATATCTGCTTTTGGAAGAACTGTCAATATACTGCAAAGCGAATAGTGTGGCATCACCCTCTGCCATAAAAACCGACCTTAGACAATTTAGTGATATGGACATAGTGCAGTTGGAAGTTTCGGGTTGTAGATTCAAGCCAGAATTTGATGGTACTGATGCGTGGTTTTGGCAGATTTCTTCCTCAGTTAACATGTGGGTATTATATGTGATGCTTAAATGAACGCTGAACAACAATGGGAGTAAGCTGATAGCACTCCCAACACACCAGCACGATGCAGCAACACACACCATTCAGACGTCACAGCTAGACGTGCTAGATATGCCAGCTCAGAGCGGTGTTTAGCGCCGTTACGTGCCCACCACGCATCTATAACCATCTGCCAATACCTGACAGTGACGCCTCGAACAGGATACCTCACTTTACACAGTTTACGAGTTGTGTGACAGTCGTGATGGAAAGAGCGCTGTCACGCTCCACACAGCCTCTACCAGAACACATACGAGTAAAAGCCCGAAACCTTCCACAATATATAGATATTTGATTTGTTAGTCGTGTTTCCTGTCATGAAAAGTGTTATTGTAATAAGTTGATTTCAAGCAACTTTTGAACACATTTAAAACATCAAGTAAACTGATGTTAAACTGCAGAGCAAACGAAAGTTTACACGATGGTTGTTAGTGGCTAGAAATGAAACAAACACCAGATATTTTTCGACGGTGATATATTTGACACGGGAATCAAGTTTGTTTGGACATTAATGTTGCACTGTTTCAACGACTGTTTTCAGTCTAGTAACATTTGTACCGTTTTTGTAACTTCCATTTTTCACATGTACACTTTCTTTTATATCAAACTACTGATATTTATCAAACTACAACTGGACTTGTCGCTGTTACGTTATTTGTTTATCTCACTTTCATAGTCTAATTAGATTTACCTTGATTAATGACGTAGGAAGGTACTGTACGCCTAGGATATCGCCGAAGAATGGTACAGCCATGTATAAATACCCATGTCTCACAAAGCCAAATTCCCAACACCTACGAATCGGTGTTAAGTCAAGGTCAAGGTCACACAACAGAAACCACCAGATTATGTCACCAAAATTGAATGTTACATTATTTCAAACTTGAGCAAGCCACTACCATGCTTACTGATAACATCACAGTGTACACCACTTGTCCTGGGTACAGTAGAGTAATAACGGCCCGAACATGTCTCAACCCTGACATCTTGAAAATATCAAGCGTCGACGCAGAGAATAACCAGTCTCAATTATTCGCCCATACAACTTCCACTGACAGTAACAGGCTAGATCTAAAGACAGTGGTGAACATTATTTCATAAACTAATCACTGAAAACCAGATAACACACATGTGCCTCAGATAACACACATGTACCTCATATGCATAACATCGATGTATTTCCAAACAACTAAAATGCTGCTATAAAACTATCCCCATGTCTTGAGAACACAAACATTGTATTTTACAATAAGAAGAAAAAGCATGAAAATACACCAAAAGCCGACAAGATAAAAGGACTATATGCGACCAAGACCAAAGCCCAATATAATAGGTTCCAGAAATAAGCGCACTGTGGTAAGATAAATCTCGTAAAGAAGTCAAATGAGGTCAAGGATTTGCTGAAATCCTACCAGAACTTCCTTGTGCTTCACACCGACAAAGCTGGAAGCTTCAGGGAGGAAAAACAGCTACTTCTCAGTCATATAAACACTTTGAATGATTTACAAGAAATGTTTTTCAATTTGAAAATTTGGCGCTTGCACTTGGTTAGAAGATAATTGGATCATTATCATACTCTTCCTGCATCAGAGGAATGGAGTCACATTGAGTGAAACCTGTTAAATTGGACACCTCTGTCCTTCCACATCGTCTATATCCACGGTCAATAAACCTGATCCTGTGAACAGTGAAAACAATAAATCTTTGGAATAGACATTGGAAGGTTTGTTTCCGGGCATAGGATTATAGGATTAATCCTGATAAAATATGTCCAATTGTTTGCAGTCACCGAGTTTCGTCTCAAGCTTGGCAGCATCTAACTATGTTCAGTCATCTACAAAAAGTGTTTATGTTTATACTCGGCCCTTATGTGGTGCACCAAAAAATACTTTTAGCAATTGTTTTTCTTTACTTATAAGTATCGGAACTTCTGCATTTCTACACGGGAGTTGCAAGTCATGGTGGGTCCAGGGCCGGACACTTTTCACAAACACATGGTGTCATCACAGAATTTTAGTGATCCATTCGTAGAATGTGTACCGCTATTTTCCACTTACAGCAAATGGAATCTGTTTCTCAGGATTGTAAATACTAGGTTTTATTTAGCATCCATGTTCAAGATATATATTCAACTTGACAGAAAATGTTACCTACCTGTAATCTGGTACACTTCCACGTCGACAAGCTGGAGGTTATCCGCCGTCACCGTCGTAGCGGTATCTCCCTGCATGTGGAAACTGGTGCCGAAGTTGGTACTCCCGTTTACCTGGAAATATTGGCCATTCTTTGGAATTGACCCACTGAACGCGAATAAGTCGTGACCACCTCCGAACGTGGGGCCGTATGACCCCAGACAGTATATTGCATTGGATCCGTTCTTGGCGGGGTACTTTTGAGGATCAAACTTCCCCTTGAAGTATAACCGGAATAGGAACGCACTCTGATCTGTCAACCACATGCCGCTGACGTTGGAGGTCCAGTTGAGGGCGGTGTAACCACCGAAGACGCAGTCCAAGGCGTTGTACAGCACCGTGACTGTGGGGCCCTTATTGTCACACTTCTGGTGAAACAGTTGAGCGCTGCAGCCATCTCTCGAGGCTTTGTACAACAGGTTAAAACCCTTGTTATCACCAAGCCACGCCGTCAACTGCTTCTTGTCACTCTTCTGAAGTACCTTAGGCACTTTACTGCTGCTGGACGTCTTCATGGCACTTTTCTTCTTCGGGCTAGCAGCACATCTGGAACACAGCGGTACATTGATGAGACGTGAATAAATTCGTACAACAGGGCATGGAGTAAAAGAGGACATGTACAGCAGGGCATGGAGTAAAAGAGGACACGTACAGCAGGGCATGGAGTAAAAGAGGACACGTACAACAGGGCATGGAGTAAAAGAGGACACGTACAGCAGGGCATGGAGTAAAAGAGGACACGTACAGCAGGGCATGGGGTAAACGAGGGGCATGGACATGGGCATGGGTCAAAGACAAGAACACATGGGGTACAACAGGGCATGGAGTAAATGAGGACACGTGCAGCAAGGCATGGAGTGAATGAGGACACGTACATAGGAACAGGAATTAAGGAAGTAAATGGAGTTCAGGTTGAAATGAAGTGAAATGGTTGAATAAGGAGGACAGTTTTCCAGGCAGTTTCACAAGGTGTGTTACAAAGACGTAGGAATAACATTCCTGTGTCATAGGTTCGTTTCATTCAAGGCTGGTTAAATGAATAATAACTAACCACTATTATGTTTAAGCGTGAATTGCTATCTGAAAACATAGCCTTCATGTTACACTCGAGTGCATCACCATGTTATTTCGCAAACTACCATGTTCAGTCGGAATCGCTCTCAGTCTGGTCAAACGGCACAATGGTTTTCAGGTCATGGAGACCTTTAAAAAACAGAAAAAAATACACTTCTTGTCTTTTCTTGTCAAATAACATGTTGATCTCATTCTGGAGCTAGAAAAAGGTCACATTTTTAATCGCGCATGCGCCACAAATGCCATCTGGATCAGGATATTCCATGAGCTATACTAGCAAAAACATGTCGCCCATGTTCAAATCAACTAAACATAATTGCAGATAAGTCGTCAGTATTCAGAAAAGTCTGTATGACCCACATCCTGTCTTTGTGTTCAGTATAACGGGATGCTGCATGATATGTGAGTTTAGTTCAAGGTCATATCAAGTGAACCGTTATTTATGCAGTATTGTTTTCACAGCGTTTGATATTCTTTGAAATAACCAGACTTAACCGTTCTACCAAAATATCCTTCTCAATATGCGTAGGATATGGTGAAAGATTAGGAATTAATGTTGATAACATTTCATAGAAAAAAGGTGAAATAGTGTCAAAATGTTTATTCTCAGGTCAATTTGTCCACAGCTTCAAAGAAATGGTGATTGTGGTTCATCCTCTGGAGAGTTAGATTCGACGCATGGTGACCAAGGCTGTAAATAACCACACACAACATCCTACTTGGTATGGAACACTCATAACCATTTACTCTGAAAGCCCTACGTAATTACCTAACTGACGTCCAGGAGCCTCAATAGTTTATTATGAACGTGCATGGAATGTATTGACCATCTCTACCTTTATATTGAGACTTGTAGAAATAGAACTGCCCATCTGAGAGGGCATCATGCAACCTCCGTGATGACTCATACTACTGATTATCTACATTACTGGGAGTGGGTTTGTAAGTGGCCATCTGCCAGCACGAAACATTGTTGAGTTGTGCGGCTGAAATTTCTGTAAATGTCACACTGGGCTGGAATGAAGAGCAAGAAGAATACGGTCAAGGGCTGACTGGAACTAATGCCGAGTGAGTGTTCCGGCCTCAGAAATCCCAATATGATACGTCTGTAAACGTGAGATGCCGGATTATAATTCAAATGATTTCTCCCCCGCCATCAATGGCAGACTGAATACAAAATGGTAATATAGTAAAGCAGTAGCGAATGTGCGCAAATATTGTGATCAGATGTTGGATCAAGGGTTGCTACAATCGCTTTGAGAGGACTAAAACGTAAATACCTGGGGATATTCGTGAACCGTGGAAATTACACTGAGAAACCTACCATAAAACATGTCTTGATTTTCTGTAGCGCACGTGAGTGAAGGTCAAGGTCATGTGCAGATGGCAGATAAACATGAAGCGTGATTTCGAGTTAAAGGTATTACAGGAAAGAATCAATTCTAACCTCTAACCTGCAGGAGTAAGGGAGTATTTTAGCAATAATCAAGCAATGTCAAGACCAGCTTCACGCAAAACTGCAGGAAGGCACGTTTATTCGTATTCAAAGTAGACGACCTGAAATACCTAGAATCTTTCATAAAATATTTTAACTTTCAAGTCATGGCATTAACTGTCCTGTAATTATACGTTTCAAAGGCCTGGCGATTATTTTCTTAAACACAGTCTCCCGATAAGCCGATACACGAGCACTCCATTAAATCCTTAAAAAGACTCTTTAAAGAGACTTTAATCTGATGGAACGAGATGAGGGGACGATTCACTGACTTGGCCGGAGAAGCTGAAAGCCGTATCAAGTATCAGCCCGTCATATATGACGCTGACATATGGGAGGACGTCATCTGTGTATCGGAGTGAACACGTCTACAGAGGATCAAATGCAGCAGTTGTGCACATGTTGGATGTGGATCAGCTCGGCCTACTGTATCACTCAGAGACAAACGATGTTAACACTGTCATGATTGGCCTTTCAAGCGAGCGACAGGTCAATTAGCCAATTAGAACGCCTCATAGAACCCCCAATTACGCAACACCGTCTGCAGACAAGTCGACAAACCATCGTTGACGCGATGTTCGACTGCATTCAATGAAAACCAATTCTAAAGAATTCGACGTCATGGTTAACATACGTATTTGCCATGTCAGATTTAATGATGATGATGATGATGATGATGATGATGATGATGGTGGTGGTGATGATGATGATGATGGTGGTGGTGGTGGTGGTGGTGGTGTTTTTCCCCTAAATCCTAAAACACCTCCAGCTATGACAGAGAATCAGACACAGAAAGATATCCACAACATTAAATCCTCCCAGCATCCGTGTTTTGTGTCTAAGAATGCAATATTCGTGTGAAAGTTTGGACATGGGGTAAGGTGCCAAGAAGACCAAGTTCATGATGGACGTTTAAATTGGTTTTGGTTGTTCAATCATTTCACACGTGACAGGAATACGTGCAACGTATTTTCTTGATGGTATTTAAATGTTCCGCTGACCATGATAGATCGTAGAATCTTCCACAACAACAGACTCCGACATTAACACGTACCACGACTTTCACAACAGGTTACAGCAGGATTTTAATTACACAATTTATCAACATTCAACGCAATTAAACAAGTCATCTGTCACTTAATAAAATCGTTGTAATAGTTTTTCCCTTGGGATGAGCGAGGCCATGGCAACAGGCGCGTGTAGGGGGTGGGTAACAAAATGTTCATTTGGGTTTAATGGTGTAATCCTGACAGCACGTAATAGCTGAGCCAAGCTAGGGTAAACAGCATTAGAAAGGAGAAACCCTAACTGAGCTCGTTAAAATGTTTGTCTTCTTGATCCGGCAGCAGGGACGGCTTCCAGCGTTCACACGTCCCCGTCTCTGCGGAGGAGCACCTTTGATGAAGTAATGCGGTGTTTGGGAATCTAATCGCTCTCAAGTCCGCCAAGCTCGGATCTCCTGCTTGAGGACGGATCAATGACGCTGACATTTCCATGCTGTTTGATATAACAATTGGCTTCGCTCTAAGTGCATATAATATCTTTTAGATGTTGTGTCATTGTGGGTCATCTGACGCGATGAAGCCCATGTGAGAAGGAAAGGTCAGATATGACTACATGACGTCCAAAGCTGAAATTATACAACCCAATAAATGCTTCTCAAGCCATGACGTATAGATGATAGGGTTGCCCTTGGCGTATCTCTGCTTGGCCATCTTGTGTTGTCCTGGTAGCTTTGTTCAGTATGAACCAGGGGCTAGCTGACCAGTTGTACTTGTCCAATTTCCAGTGAGCGCATCTAATTACCGGTGACGGTGCCGGGAGCGACATGGCTATTGACCCTTGCACAGCGTCGCCTTCAATATCGGTAAATCAAATCATATGGTATTGGCCCCGTGTTAACGACTTGTCAAATATTAGTCCAGGAATCAGATATTTTACATATATAAAGGCAAGCTGACATCTCCATATTGCAAAATGTCAGCGCGTTCGGATTAATAACTCTCCAGCTTTTCTCGTAAACACACGCTTTGGGTGATTACAAGTATAGCTCTACCTTCCTCGAAGGTGTTGTCGAGCACATCCCCGCGCCGTCATTTTGTCGGTGTCCGTGAAGCAGATATCTGTGTTGTGTTTGTTTCCCGTGTGATTCGAGGCTTGGAGGCTGGATAAGACGGGATAGAACCTGCCAGTAAGTCTCCATTTTCATCACGAGGACTCTCTACCTGTACCGCTGATTGGGTCGATACTTCCGCATGGTGCTGACAGTAGAAACTAGCGGTCTGGCTTATTTACAAATTAACCCGCCTACCCGTATGGATAAATACTACCGTCCGATCTGTATTTGCTTTGCTAATTCACGAAACACTAACAATACTCGCCCCTTTCATCAACGGAATGTTTGCAGAGTAATCAGTTCCCAAAGGCCTTTTAGAAGCAACCAGGCATATTTAGCACAAACAGAATGGCATGTGACACACCCAGGTGTGTTTCAGTACATACAGAATGACAGGTAACACAACCAGGTATGTTTCAGTACATACAGAATGACAGGTAACACAACCAGGTGTGTTTCAGTACCTACAGAATGACAGGTAACACAACCAGGTGTGTTTCAGAAATACAAGAACATAACAATAGGCTGAAATACCATCATAAAACAGTAGGCTGAAATACCCTCACATAACAGTAGGCTGAAATATCGTCATATAACAGTAGGCTGAAATACCGTCATATGACAGTAGGCTGAAATACCGTCACATGACAGTAGGCTGAAATACCGTAACATGACAGTAGGCTGAAATACCGTCATGTAACAGTAGGCTGAAATACCATCATATAACAGTAGGCTGAAATACCGTCAAATAACAGTTCATAACAGCTGAAATATGACAGTAGGCTGAAATACCGTAACATGACAGTAGGCTGAAATATCGTCATATAACAGTAGACAGTCACAAGACAGTAGGCTGAAATA